TTGTGCCAAGAACATTCCTTCTAAATAACAAACATCCCTGAGATGCAACTATTTTAATTTAAAACCCTTTTGTTTTCTTTCTTCAGAGCTATTTAAGTAAGCAAAAAGAAGACCTAACTGCACCTAAGAAAAGACTAGCTGTCTTGTCTACGGTTAATCGTTACCAGCTCCCCCGGTGGTAGCCCTGTGAAAGATTTACACAATCCAGTGCTAGGGCTGAAAGGAAGGTAGCACTGGTTAGCAGCTAGTGCCATCTTGTGAACAAAACCCCTAAGACCCTTCACCCTTTTTAGTCTAACTGTACCAATGCAGCAGGGTAGAGGAAAAAAGTCCAACTTTTGCACAAGTAATTAACTTCATGATAAGAGCTCCACAAGCAGAGAACATGAGACTAATCAGGCCAGATAAAAGCTCTACAGAGTAGAGACAGCTCTAGAGAGAAGAACATTATTTTACAGTAGAGCTGATGGTAAGAGCAGCTATTCCTTTTTCACTCCATTGCAAATCATACCTAATGTTACCCTTACTTAAGAAGTACACATCATGTTGGCCACAAACTTTGCTAACCACCCTGACAGACAAACTTTCCCCCTTCCTTTTTTTTTTGAGGACAGTTTCTTTTCTAAAACCTGTGTTTCTCCTGTGCCTGGGCTTCAAACAGCAGTAGAACTCGAAACATGTACTAAAATGGTGTAATAAAAAGGGATTTATGCTATAAATCCAGCAGGCTGCTAAACACAGGGATCACCATCCTCTCAACCCCCCTATGGACTCCATGAGAGGTGGATTTGCTGTCTTGTGACCAGGAACAGACTGGAAACTAGGGACAGATCAAGCCAAGAGCAGCATTGCCACTTCTGTAACATGCATGCATCGATCACACCTGTGTCTTTGGCAAAGACCTTCAAAAGCAACTGGATTTCCCAGAGATGAGACCTCAGACTTGCTGGAAAAGGAGGTAAATGTTCCCAAACAGAATTGCTTAAGTAGAGGAACACAAAATCACTAGTCCTTTGGAAGAACCATGTAGTCGTCTTCTTGTGCCCTTGTCTTCCCCAATTTCAGAGCAGTAGTATTTTCTCCCCGTTGCAAACACAACAAATGGTGAACATCAGCCTGGCAAGTGGGAATGAAGAAGGTTCTCTAATGAACATCTTACCTGGCTAGTGGCTTTTACCCTGGAAGTGATGCTGCTGTGTCTCCCCACAGCAGCTCACCAGCTGCCTTGTTCCAACCAATGAACTCACACTACAAATGCAGAGTGCAAACAATCCTGTCCTGAACCTACTGCACCCAAGGGCCAGATGTTTTTGCAGGATGTATAACTAGCAAGTGTCTGCTCCCCAATGTCTGAGACAGCTCACAATCCTTCCTAACAACAACAAGCATAACCAGTGAAATATTCATCACAGCTCCGCTACAGGCGGTAAGAGTCCATAAACACAGACTTACCTGTTTTCACTAACTGTATCTTAACACTACCTTCCCATATAAAATTCTACTTCCCAGGAAGTCTTGTGTGTATTACTAATATCTCATACAATTAGGTGTTGCCCTTCTGCCTGCCTGTAACACTAGCCTACTTTTGGGAGCTGCAGGCTTTCGTTCCCAAAATTTCACCTTTTACTTGAAGACCTCATTTAACTGCACGTCATCCCTGGGCCTGTGGAACTCATTTTTTTTTTTCCCCAGAACCTTACCTTTTTTCCTTTACATATTGATTTTGAATACTGATATCCTCTCCAAATATATATCTTTCAAATAACTCTTCCAGTAAAACACTTCCTAAGTGGTAATTTGTATCTCAGTATATTCAGATGTATAAACTGTACAAAAGATCAAGAAAAAGAACATCAGTTAGGCCTATAAATGAGCTTTCAGGTTTCCTAAACCACTTTTCTCCTATCAGGCCAAGGCTGTGTGTTTTACAGTTGGCTGCTGCTGATTCTAAATGCTAGTGTTTTAGGTCCCACTTTTACAGCACTTTGTCTCAAAGGCACGATGCACAGCCAACCACAGGGATGGTGTTATATTAACTGCTTAAACATTCTGCCTCAGGAAGCCAAGGAACCTTGAGGTACCTGGAAGATGCAAAGAAGTAGCCTTTTAGCTATCAAATGAACACACAAAACCTGCTGTGATACCACTACCGTGAAGTTCCAATGCGTTTTTCTCAGCAGCCCCTGTTTCTGAGGAAGGAAAGCTTACCCATGCCTACAGTACAGGCACAACACACCTCTGCATTTCTGTCTAATCTGAGCTTGTTCTCAAACACACTGGACAAAATCAACAAAATTTGACAGAACAGTAAAGGCCACAAAATGTCAGAAGGCTCAAAGACATATTTCTGTAAATTTGACTAAAATGGCCATCAGAAAGACCTTGCTCATGTCCTGACTGGGGCACGGCCCCACTAACATGATTCATTAATATATGCTGCCTAATTCCAGCAGGAGACATCAGAGAAACCCACATTGGAAAGTGACATTTCGGATTCCCGAGCCACAGGAAAAGCTTTAACCAGAGTTCATACTTTATTAAACATCAGAGAGTGTAATCACAGCCCATCAAACAAACAAAAAATTAATAATGAATAAATAAATTGGGGTTTCTTAGTCCCACTACTTCAATAATTACTTGCTTCTATTCTAAATACTGCTCAGAACAGGGTGAGGGCATGAAATAACTTACTGCAAGCATTTCTTAAAGCTCACTCAACTTCCTCAGACTTCACCACAGTTGCAAAAACTTGCAATGATTTAGAGTTCACAGAAGCAGAGGCACAGAGACCAAATAAAGCTTTCTGACCATTTACCCCAGAATTTATGACAACTACAGATGAAGGCCTTTCTGTCAGGGGCACTAATGCATGCTACTTTATTTTCCAGGTCTCACCGGAAATGAGAGCTAAAAATTAGAAGAGCTTCTCTTCATTTAATGGGTGGCTACACAAAAAGTAACAGTAGTTCCTAAAGTAGGAATGCACAGAAACACTGAAGGTACAGCAAGCCAAAGAAAAAGGTGTATTACTGTTCAGGCAACAGTTAGGTCAGGGTAAAAATGAAGTCAACGGCTGTCTGCAGCCAAGTCTTTTGGGTTGAATCCAACCTTCCAACTAAGCAAAGTGACAAGGCTCCACATGAGGCAGCCCTTCAGTCTCATTCACCTGCTCTGTCCTCTGAAAGGACCAAGAACCCAGGCCTGTAAAGTGCCTGGTGTTACCAGCCCCAACCCACCCCTAAAAATCAACACCAAATTGCTGTACTGAAGATGAACATTTGCTGAGGGAAGCCACAAAAGGATGACTGCTCAGATTAGAATAATGCTGATGTTAAACCTCTTTTTCACAGATTTTTTTCATTTACTATTAATGTCACTAAATGTTTATTACTCATATGGCAAAGTGCTGATGGGTTGCACAGCAGGGGTCAGCAGTGGCTACATCCCTGCAGTGATACTCCGTAAGATGTCAGGCAACAATGCTCCCCAAAGAGCCCTCAGGGGAACTGTGCTGTTTAACTGCTTCTTCCTCTCTGGCCAGAGTCTGATGATACAATAAATCCAGCTTTGGGGCTCATGGTATCAGGCCAAAAAAAAGCTGTGGTGCTCTGATGCAAAGCTATTTAAAGGCATGTCAACCAAGTAAGACCTCTGACAGCTCCGATTTGTTAAAAAAATTCTGACTGGTTAACTTTGTAACATTGGGCTTTATGCTGGAAAAGTTATTACATCTTTCTCTCCAAGTGTACACACCCACCACAGAGAGTGCTAAAAAAAAAAAAAATCATTATCTTATGGATATCAATCATTATCTTATCACTAGTTTGCCATAAACAGAGGCAAATACTCACCCCTGGTCCCCATCAAACATGTACGTCTGGCTCATTTAGCAACACACAAGTCCACTGGAAAGACAGCCTGAGTCAATCACATACTGATATATGCTGCAAGAGATGAAATGCCTGCTCAGAATAGGGCCACCATAAAATAAAGCCTCAGGTTGCTCAAGGCCTTGCCCAGTCTATTTCCAAGTCCAGAAGTTCACCAACTTCTCTGGGCCTTGTCCCAGTATGTGACCCCCCTACACATACAGATAAAAAAAAAAAAAAAAAAAATTAATTTAGCATTTCATTGGAATTTTCCTTGTGGCAACCTGGGTACATTGCACAAGATCAGCACAGCCTGTCACACAAGTCACCAGATACTTCTGAGCTCCTCTGCTGCAGAGCAGCTGTTCAAAATGCAGGTTAAAGATCCAGAAACTTTTTTTTTTTAAGGTTATATCATCCAAGAACAAAGAACTGGTTCTGCAGTGCAAAGCACCAGGGCTGCTGAAGGGCAAGGATGAAGGTCCTTCCAGCAGCGAAGTCCGTGGCAGTCTATGAGCCATAGACTAAATACAGTGAGACATACAATCAATACAGTGGTTTGTAGTGACAGGAACAGCAGAGACCAACAACACCTTTCCTAAGGGATAGGAAAGAATTAAGAGCTCAGCTCAGGAAAGAAGCAGCAGACTATACTTGATATAAAAGCGAGTACTTCTGACTCACTGATTTCAGTTCCAAATGGGAAACTGACTCCCAAAACTTCAACCACTCTAGCCCAAACAAAGAATGTCTGAAATTAATCAGGGATAAAGGTGACCTGATCCTGTAACAACTTTCTTCAAGCACGAAATCAGATAAATTAGGATCTTATTTAGAATATAAACATTGGTTTAGATATCTAAATGCTGAGCACACTAAAAAGATACCATTAATAAAATACCAAAGCAGCTTACATTACACCACTCACTGTTTCATTTCTGTTCCTGAGAAATTAGAAGTCCTACAAGTACTGAAAACAGATGAAATACTGGAACTTTACCATGCCACAAAACCCACAAGTGAGAGAAACCCAAGAATGCTTATTTTAAAAACAGTTTTTAATAAAAATGAAAATAATTATGATAATAACTAATGAAAACTAGTGCTTAAAATTAGCCATATTTAATTAGCTTTACCTTATGCTCCAACAATGCTGCACATGATTTACTTCAGAAGCAGGAATACAGACATTCAACATGTTTCCAGCATCACTAAACCATCTTAAATTTGAATTAGAAATAGAATTCATGTTTTGTATCTGAGGATGAAAATCAAGAGGTACTTGGCACAGTCATTTCAGGTTTACCAGAAAGATGAGCACACACAAGGAAAAACTACATGCTAGCTTCCATTTCAAACAAACAATGCCATTGCTAATCAGCAAGAACTTGTGTCTTACTGAAAGGCTTTTGAAATTTGCTTTGAAGAAAAACTCTTGGAACACACAAGTCTTCTTTCCTGTTCACAGTTTCTCGCTGCACATATTCATTGACCACTTGCTCATATCCCTCAGCCTTGAAAAGCTGAGACAAGAACTCTGGAAGAGAAAGAAAAAAAAAAAAAAGATTTAATATTATGTTTAAGCTATTTTTAAAACACTACTCAGCATCCATACACGTGTTCTTGTGTTCAGCATGAAAAAACACACAGGGCTTCTGATTTCAAGCTGTTCTGTGCAGGCAACTGCTGAATAAAAACCAACACAGATCTCCTTTAAGAACACCAACCTAAGCAGGACAGCTCACACAACGGGGGTCTAGCCCAGTTACTCAGTTTAGTCTCCACAACTTGTCACACTCTCATTTTTACTAAGCCTTGCCATTCTCATTGTGACTGACACCAGTGCATTTTCACTTTGTGCAGCTGACCTTCATGAGCTGGATACCTGACCGGTTTCCCATCTTCCCAAGGAAATCCAGCCTTGCAGATGTATGCCTGCTGGAGGAAGAATACCACCCTCTGCTGCTGGGCATTCACATGCCACTGCTCAACAGAAAAATGGGCAAAATTGCCAAGTGGACAGATAGAGTGGTACCAAGCCAACAGCAGGTCACTCTGGAAGTATCTTCTGTGAACAGCAGGACCCCACCCAAAGCGTGTCGCCCCCAGGGAAGGCAGACAGCCCCCACAAACCAGGTGACCTCTGCAAGCAGAGACGGCTGCTTGGGCTATTGACTTGTCATGTTCATTAAAAATCACCACTTTTTCTTTCCTGTACCTTCTTCCTTTTACTCAGGCAGTAACTCCACAATAAATTTAGGCTGTCCTAGACCTGTGCTACATGACAGAAAATAAAGAAATGCCATTTTTCACTGCTCAGGGGGATCCTGTGGCTGCAGCAGCCCCAGCACTAGCAGAGGTGGTGTGCTGAGGGCTGAAATCTCATTGTGAGGAAGCTGTGCATACATTGTCACACAAAACTACAGCCATGCATTCCTCCACAAATTGAATATTATTTCCAACGGTGGAAGAATAGATTTTTTTTCCCATGGAATAAGCTCAGTGTTATTATCCAAAGCCAGACATTATTACAATTAACTATCATTCAAATCATCCCATGTAGCAATTACTTGGTGTATCTGTGCAGTGCTAAATGAAAAAGAGCATGGATTGCAAACTGTGAGGAAATGACTGGAGTCATTTTTCCAGGAACAAAAGAATTCTCAAGCACTATGCTATATTTGTATAAAACTAGGGAAATGAAGGAGATGACGATTTGATACATATGAAGGAGATGAGAGCAGAGGTGGCCCAAGAGGCAGTCACAGAGCAGCCCAAGGCAAACTGATTGCTAGCATGAGCAAGATAAACTCTTTTCTCCTTCCTTCCTTCTTCCTCCTAACTCAATTCCTCTCCCAAAGCAAACATGCATACTAGGTAAGGAATTTCTCATTCAGAAACGATCCTAACACAATGAAAATAGGATTTAAAATTCCACAGGTAGATCAGTCTCTTATTTGTCCCCTTTAGCATTCATTCTTTTTTTAAGAGATGATTGTTTTAACAGAACTAAAAATCACTCTAGGAACAACTAGTTCTAGAAATGGTTCAATAAAACCATAGCACAGCCTGCATTATCTTAGATTTCATCATTGTCCCATAAAGAATAGAGACAGCTCAGACGAGACTAATGCTTTTTATGTATCAGAAGCAAATAGGTAATAAGTTATGTCATAAAACAGGAATAATATTTACTTGACTCCAAATCTGTCTCTTCAGAGGCTGTATTTTGCTGTAGACTAAGAACAAAGAGCCCCACAGAAATAAACACACAACTCTTATTACACAATGCCCTATAACTGATAGGAGGAAGTAACACTGCACTGAAGTTTAGCATGAGGAATTGGGAGTTAGAAGATGAGCCATAATCCCAAGTCATTGTAAGAGTCTAAATCAATTCCTTCATGTCTCTGTGCTTCAAATTCTCCACCAGTAAATTGCACTAATTACCTTCCTTCATAAAGCTTTGTCAGCATTGAATGAAAAACTGTTTAAATACTGTATAAGAAGGAAATGGTTTTTTGAATCTTCTCTACTAATGAACAGAAGACAGAGTGAGCACAGCCAGTCAGCACTATCTCAGAAGGAGTGTGCACTAGCCTTTCAGAACTGTAATCATCCTTCTGCTTCAGAAGTCACCAACTTCTTAGCAGACCTCATCTTGAACACCAGGAACAGACTTGCAAAGAACAATGCCAAGATAACTGCCAAGTTGCCTCATGAAGATGATAGGTTCTATTGCTGAACATCGGTTTCCTTCCCCTAGACAAGAAATCTGAATAAAATTCAGCAAATTCAGAAACTACTGCTCTTGGCACACAACAGCACACACAAGAAGCTTGTAAACAAGAGAGTGTTCTAAAAAGCCCTGCCAGTCTCAATATCTTCTTCCTCCCAAAAAGGATTGCAAATGAAGTACATCATGATTTAATGATTCACCCATGTAAAACAAAACGTTCACATGCACATTGGCAATTCCCTGAAGCATGTGTATACAGAAAATTCACAGCAAAGAAAGCATTCTACAGTATGTCTTACCTTCAGTAAAAAAATATGATCTTGTCCCATCTTGTCTAACATAAAAGTTTTCCCCAAGTTTCCTGCCAGATTTAAACCTGAGCATTGCGTGGTCATACAGTCCATAGTCCCTGAACAAGACACACTTGCCTGGTTTTAATACCTGTCACATAACACATATATGCTTTAATAAGGCAAATAGATTCAGGCACATAGGTATATATATTTGCATATGCAGACAGACACATACAGCTATGACAAGGTATCCTAACACATTCAATACAGAAATGATACATATTGAATTAATTCCCTGCACAACAAAAAAAGTTGTATATAAACTGGATCGTGTGCTCCTAAAAATGTCTCCCCATGAACAGCTTTAAGATACCTGTTTGGATACTGATCAGCTAAATAAGCTTTTTGCAACACTCTTCAAATACAGAGGAGAGAAGAAAATCTAGTTTAACAATAAAAATTAAGTCCTAACAGAGCATTATCTTTATTGGGTAGTGTACAGTCTAGAACCTCATTTTGCTTAATGATTAACAATAAAATTTAGAATACCATAACTTTTTTCCTTCATGTGAGAAAAAAATGTTGCAATATAATAAGAAAGGAACAATTTCAAGGAAACACATTGTGGGTTTGAGGGTTTTTTTAAAATTTCTCTTTGGTAAAGAAATAAAGCCATAAAGAGTTTAGAATTTATAAATGCATGGTCACTGGTCATGCTGACTTCAGGCATTTGATGCACACAACTTCCCTACCTCATCAAATACCAGCTGCATTTGTTAGAGAAGAAAAGGGGTACTTGCCACTTGCAAACTTGTGCAGAAACCTACCAGTGAGTTAAATGAACCAGGCGTCTCCACAGAGAAAACAATAATTATCCCTTTCATGTGCACAAGCTAAAACCAATCTGACTTTGGAAAACACCTGGAGATGCCCCAGAAAAATCTGACATTCCCTTTTCAAACTACTAATGACAAAACAGGACATCTCATAATCTAAAACCCAAAATACACACATATGGATAAACAAAAAATATGATCACTATTTCCCTCTGCAGTCAATATATTACATCCCAGGGGAATTCAGAACACCCCCAGCACGGATCCTTTAAACAGCCCTCCAGATGGGCCTTTCCTAGTCTATCAGCTAACAAACGCAGCCCAGGGAGACATCAATCTCTAGATTAACTTTGATTTCTGAACACCCCACTCCTATATCACCATGGATCAAGTCTGTTTAGTAACAACAGTGCCATCCTCACTGCAAGTCACTGTGTCTTCTGAAGGGCAATTTTGGCTCACTGTCACTCGTGCCTTACCAGCGCAGGCCCTTCTGCAACCCACAAGCATTATTTGTAGCATGCAGCCTGGGAGCCCCAGCTGCAGGTTCAGAACACCTTTTTGTTCTCTGGATGGCATGCATTAAGCCAGAATCTAAACCACTTCACAATACCAAGAGAGGAAAAAAAACCCACTGTTAAAAACCTCTGAGTCCCATATAGTAGGTGAACTAACTTAATAGGCTAATAGAATGTAGTGTTGAGGATCACCATTACAAGAGGGGTTCTTTCCTCAGAAAAAAACCAAATTGTACTTTCAAGCTAAAATGAAGGAAAGTGCTTTACAGACTGTAAAAATCAGCTGGTTTTACCTTGTAAATGTTCTTCAAGACAAGATGCATTTTGTCAGGATGAATGGCAGAAAGCACAAAGATAAGTGTGACAACATCCACAGAATCTGCTGGTATATTTTCTAGAAGATCATCTTTAGTAAGATCACACTGGAACACTTTACACCTTTCAGGCCTGTATAAGGCATTTTGCTAGGGAAATGAAAAGATCATGCTTTCACTCAAAATCTGCAGCAGTTGCTAATCCAACACTCATGAAGCTTATCAGAGAGCAACACAAAACATGGTGGAAAAAAGTTGACAACTAACAGGTGAGTAGCACAATCCAGAAATTCTTCACTGCATACAACAGTGGTGAAACTACAACTACTAGAATAGTCTGTTCTCAGGAATTTGAGAAGGGATGTGCATTAAGACAGCTCAGAAAACACACCAGTTCTGTTCTACCACTGCCTCTACTCTTCAAAAATACAGAAATATTATCCAAAGAAATTCTGTGTTACAAGATGATCCACGTACAGCTCTTGAGCTATAAGCAGACTGTAAACAGTTTGGGTTCTTATCACATACCCTGCAGCTGGGCTGTTCCAGCCCACTGTTTTGCTGGGTAAAAGGAGAACTGGTCTTGGCAAGAAAGCAGTTCAACATACACTGTGGAGTCTTGTGCTCTACAATCAGCAGAGATGCAGTAGTGCTCTCCAAAAACAGTCTCCACAAATCATTCAAGTAATACTGTTGAATATTACCATAATGCTACAATTTGACACTGAAAAGCCAGGCCTTCAGCAGCCATTTGGCTTCTTGCATAGTAGCTCCATTGAAATGGATCGGTCTCCATTTTTGGCAAAAGAAGTTCTACCCATCTTACAAAATGGAAGTCAAAAGAAGACTGTCATTCCAGTCATTTGTAATTTCAGAAGCTTTTAAAGACTTTAAAAGAAGTTCTAAATATCACACCAACCTTCACGTACTCAACAGCTCTAGGAGAGAAATCACAGGCATATGCAAAAATATGCACATCTTCTTCTAAGAGTGGAAACAAGCAGTTCCCAACACCACAGCCTGCTTCCAGAATGGTCAGCTTCTGATCTGCAAACTGGGGAGGAAGAAATCCAAGATACAGCACACCACTCTTGTTTTCCTCATGACACAAGAAGAGACACTGTTCAATCAGCATTTTAAAAGCTGTAATCAGTTTTAACTAATTCAAAAACCAGAGTAGGCATCCACTAGAGAATCTGATGCCTCAAAACAGAAATCCCGATTTCTGCAAAATTTAAAATCTTTTTAGAATATATTAATTTCTTTACTCTTCTACCCCTTAAATAGTCAGATTGTTGTACCATTTGTGTCTTGTCTTTCATTCAGCTATAATGAACAACAGATGGACCCGGCTATTCCCCTTAACGATGTTGTGCAATTAGCCTGCAATTCTGGATGCTTTTCTTTAAGGTAGCATTCTGAAGGGCATCAACTTCCATCTGAAAATGTCAAATCACAGAGAGACAAGCTGTCTATTTAGGACACAAAACAAATATTCCAGGTTTCATTCTCAGTATCCAGTTTGGATCAATTATAAACTGAAACCAAACCAATGTGTCTGATTCTGAGAAGGCACTTTTGACATTAAAAGAAACTACCTGGGGAGGGGCAACCAACATTA